TCTCATTTTTATTTACATACAAGTCAGAAATATTATCATGTCGTAGCAACAATGAAGAAAACAGGTTAAATAAAGTTACATAGGCAATAGATGGCAGGTCTAAATTCAAACTTAGGTCCTAAAGAAATTGCATTACTACAGGGGAAAAATGACTTCCAATTTCCTAACCCAAAAGAGGAGGGAGTTAAAACACTGAAGCAGAAGGATTATATGTTTCTGGGAGAGACCATAATGTACTGTCAGCCAGCTGTGCTCTGTACCTCAGACACTTCCAATTTGGGCATATTTTTGAAAGCATTGAGGTTTTAGCTAACAGTCAAGTGTACAAAGAAATGGGGAAGTCTTTGGTGTTAACAAAATGACTTCCCACGTGTTACCCCATGTAAATCTCCCAGCATACTCTAAAGTGGTAATAGTATATTACATGTTTTATAAAGAAACTGAACTTGACAAGGCACAGAGATGTCCCCAAGACAACAATAAACTGCGGTCAGAACCAGGGCTCAGCCCCTGACTCTGTGCTGTGGTCTTCTCACCTGGGTACCAGGCAACATGCACTATTTTTCCTGTTAACACTATGCATAATCCAAAGTCTTTGCCTCTTTGGCGAATGTGCTGCAGCAAACAGGGAGACAGAAGCAAACTGAAGGGTAATTTTATTTAATTGGGTCAAGGTTAAATATCTACACTTTCTGGAATTTTCATCTGGTCCAATACTTGGTGCTGAGCATTCAGACTTTCTGTGGAGGAGTTCGTTACCAAGTATCCTACCCTGTGTGAGCGCATGCTCCTGGTGGGTGAGAGAATAAGAAGATGGCGGGGGCGAGGGGAGCGACGTGAAGTCCACAGCTGGCAACTACCTGGCTACTCCAAAGGAAGAAGAGAGAGCTAGCTACAAAAGCAAAGGATGAAGAGGTTATCCAGGACAACTAGGTCTTCAGATATTTCAAGGCAGGAGAGCAAAGCTGAGGGCTGAACACAAACAGAATAAAGGGCTGGTAGAACAAAGATGGGAGGTCAAGCAGGAGGCAGGCAGATGGGAGGGGAGGCGTCGCTTGGTGAATTTTGAAGAAATTTGCCAGATGCTGCTGAGTTTGGACTCTGGAATCTCTTTCATGAGCAGGCTCCCTGGGCCCCAGCTGGGAGCGGGGCCCTGCTGGGGCAGGCACAGGGACTCCTCCCACATCTCAGTCCCTCTCCTGTGCTGTGCTGTCTCTCTTCAAGTTTCAGAATCTGGGGCTGGAAGTCAGCCTACCTGGGTTCTAAACTCAACCTCACCACGAACAATCTGCATGACTTCTAAAAGTTCATACGTTGCTACCTTTTCCACACAATATGAGAAGAAATATTCATCAACAGTACCCAACTCAAAGAATGGTACTGGAGCAATATTAAACTATAAAAGTTGTTATAATTCAGCCCAAGTCACATCAGATTCATTCCCATGATCCTCTAGGAGAGGAATGACAACACTGTACTAACACAAACAGGGCACACTCCGAGTTACCGGAACTTCATACTGGTGAAATATGTAGAATTGCCCTTACAACTCCCTCTGGGGAGGGTACTATTGTCCCAATTTGCAGGGGAAATGGAAACACAGAGATGTAACAAAACTTACCCAAAGTCATGCAGCAAGTGACAGACTGCAACCAGGAAGTCTGTCCTGAGAACTTGTTCCAAACCACCATGTGATATATCCTCTTGCAAAAGGATACAAAAAGCTAATAACCCATGTTCCCAGAGTCTAGTCACATGCAGCTTTGGTGCAAACACATGTAACTGTGAATAAAACCAAAGCAGAAAAAAAAATCTAGATTTACAAGGCAGATAAATTAGGCAGGGTGTTCAGCCACTCTACAGATGCCAAGAGCAAAAAAATAAAAAAAAAAAAAACAACTTCACAAATACACTTGACACAAAATAAAAATTTGTTAGTAAATTTTCCAATATGTTTAAAGATTGATTTAAAAGAAAGAGCTAATACCCTTCTAGTTTCTTGATTCAAGGGTTCCATTCATAATAAAAATGAAGTAAAATCTTAAGAAGACAAGATGCCACAGGATTGAATAATGCCTCTTTACAACCATACCTGGAGTGGTTCCCTCCCTGCATGTGCTCTACATTTGGTGTGGGACCTGCTTTCACGATACGAGTAAGACTTGCAAAACACTTGCACACCATGCTCCTAGAACACTGCTCTGTCAGGATGTGGCTCATGCAGTCGGCTTAGAGATGTGCACTGAATTCAGCTAACAATCACTACTAAACCCCAGAACACACAGAGGAGGCCATCCTGGATCATCCAGCCTCAACCAAGTCTCAAGCACCTGTGCTACATGGGTAACCTAAGGTGGGTCCAGCAGAAGAGCCATCCAGCTGAGCTCTGGCCAATGAATGCAGCCCACAGAACCATAAAGAAATAAAGTATTTGGGCTGGGGATTTATCTCAGTGGTTCTGCTGCCTGCCTTGCAAGCACAAGGTCCTGAGTTCGATCTCCAGTATGAGAGAGAGATAGAGAGAGTGAGAGCAAGAGAGAGGAGAGAACTAAAAAAGCCCACATCCAAGGCATTTCACAGGGTAGCAACAGGAACATGAAAGCTGGTAATTATTCTAGAGCCCAGTGTATTTTCATAGTGAGGCAGGAAAAATAGGGCTGAAAAGCTGAAGATGGGACAATAAGTAATACTGCCTGCTTTTACCAATCTTTCTTTCAGCGACTTCTGGATCAAGTAAAAGGGAAGGAAGCCATGTTGCACCCTGACAGAGCCAATCCTTGGCTACTATATCTACAATAAAGTTCATTTTAACAACACTGAGATAGAGGTGATCGGGTTTACAGCTACATAGCCTCCTGCATCACCCCTTCTCGGGCCATTATCACTGCTCCCTCCCAACCGTCATTCATGCCACAGATCAAAAAAGCTGAAATGTGGAGTAGGGAAAGGACACAACCAATGACAAAGATAATTTCTCAGTGCCCTGGAGCCAAGAGGCCTACTCAGCTCTGCTGTTAGCAATACTGAGAATAAAACAATCACTCAGCCCAATTTATTTCTTTAAAAATAAGGAAGACGGGCTCTCAGAAAATGACTTATCCAAGGCCACACAGACGGACATGAAGAAGCTGAAGCATGATGCATGAACCCAGCCCACGAGTGCTAGTGCTGTACAACGACATGGGACACAGGACACTGGGGCTCAAGGGGGGAACCTTCTGTCCTTGACTACTTTGAGAATACTGCCTAACTTATCACCCGCAACAGCCAAGGAAACTACAGGACACACTGACTATATCATGTTTTCAAAAGGTATCTAGGAAACTTGTTTAATCAAAGACAGAAGAGGTAAAAACTCCATTACGACACAGGCTGTGAATTTATTTATAAGCCTTCCTCTATTTTTCTTAAAGTATCCATTATTAACAGCCACAAGAGGCATAATTACTAAGGTTTGAATGCCCCCCCAAATTTATAGGTTGAAACCCTAGACCTTGCAGGAGTTATTGAATCATAGGGTGGGGCCCACATGAGCAGATCGGTACCATTATAAGAGACACCAGAGAACTCTGTGTCTCTGTCACATGAACATACAACATGAAAAAGCCATCACCAAGAGCTCAGCTATGCTGGCCCCATGATCTCAGACCTCCATCCTCCAGACTAAGAAGAATACATGTTTCCCAGTCTCTGGCCTTCTTTCATAGCAGCAAGAGTTAATCAACACAATAGAGAATGCAGGCAAAATTAGTTTATAGCTCAAAGTATACATAGTGACTAATAAGCTTTTTAAAATCATACTTACATGTTGATGTAAACATATATGTTAAATTTAACATATTTATCTGTTTTACTTGCAATCTAGCAGAACACGCCCTGGTCCCTTTTCCATTTGTAATACATGAATATGACAAAGTGATTTAACAACTCCTCGTCTCAAATGTTCCAGCAATAAAGCAAGGCAGCCAGACCTCAAGCCTGAACCACACAATGAAATGGAAAGTGTTTTGGCTACGGCCACAGGTGAGACCCAGTCTGGGACTTAGCATCTCATTCCCTGTCGGATGGAGGCTACACCTCCCCTCTTTCCAGGGCTACAATGAGTGGAAAAAACGACACTCTTCCCCTAGGGCTTGGTAAGAATAAAAACCACAACACTTAAAGCACCCAGCGTGGTGCCTGATGCCTAAGAAGTGTTCTATAATGAAAGCTAATGATAACAATGCATTCCTTCATCCTACGGAGTTCTATGGACCTGTGCTAGGCTGTGTGTGTGTGTGTGTGTGTGTGTGTGTGTGTGTGTGTAGGACTGAGAGCAGCCCCTGGCGTGCTAGAGAGTGACAATCCGTAACTCTAACTGGGAGTCCTTGACACCACAAGAAAGGTCCCGATTCCATTTCCCACGACAGAATCCACAGTCCCCCCTCTAGACAGGTTCTCATCTATGCAGGGGAAGCTGTGTCCTGGAACGGCTCCCCTGGTCTGCCCATCGCCAGCCTTCGTGCTTCTCTTCTACTCCAGCGCTCTCTTCCCTTCCCTTCTGCTCCAGAACTATCCCCAAGCCAGCACCCGCACCTTCCAAAAGCCTCCAAGGCCCAGCTCCCTCAACGGCGGGCATTACCCCTTTCTTCCCACCAGAGGTCGCCCTCCCACACAAGCCCAAGGAAACAGGTCCAGCTTCGCCTTCCTGGCAGCAGTGACATTATTTTCTTTCTCTATTTTTATCTATTAAAAAGATTTCTTTCAGCCATAACTTAGATCCCTACACTAAAATGGAGCAACAGGAAGATATAATGGTGCATTTCATTTATGAATGACCTATAATAAATTACTCTGAAGTGTCCCGAGTGCCAGAAGACAGAACGCTTTGTCTGCCCACGGACTGTATTTCACATACTTTAATTTAGCTGACACATAAAACTCGTTTGACGTTTTGCAGGTATTCTGAGCAGGGAGTGGGGGCGGCAGGGGTGGGGGGCGTCGAGCAGAGGAAAGGATATTTGGTTCTTGTTGAGGGTTAAGGTGTGGAGCCGGGGTAACCCTGGCAACACGAGGTCGTCTCCAAGCAAATTGTTGTCCAAGATGAGTTCCTCCAGGCTCCTGAATGCACTCAGTCCTTCCAGTGACCTGCAATGACAAAGGCAACAGGAAAAATGATCCTGCACTAAATCAGGGAGGCCATTATGAGCCGAAATAAATATTTTAACCTTCCCTTTCAGGACTGGGAATAGTTGGGCTTGGTGCCTGTCAGCAAAGTGAATGACAAGAATTAGTAGCAGGAGCCAGGGGTGGGGGCGGCAGGGGAGAAGGGGCCTCTGGCACTCACCACATCCTTCACGCATTGCCAACATGAAGGATGAGGGTCACTTAGTGAGTAGCCAGGATCCCAAACAAAGGGCTTCAGATACGGCCTGCAGGATAAATTTGTCAATGTCTTGTGCCTTCAGGCACCCAGCCTCGGCTGACCCTAACCTCCATTCCCAAGATAAATAACTCTGTCACACTTCACCTTCATTCCCTGGACACAAATTTAAGTTGTCATCCATCATTCCTGCCTAGAAATATCATACCCCTCTTACAATAATAAATATAACTTCAAGTATCATTTCTTAGTGGTTCTCCTCTCTACAGTCGTAGGGGAAACAGCCAGGAAAGCTTCTCTCTCCTTTCACATCCTTGGACTTCTTTTTCTTTCACCCACTCTGCCTTTTCTTTTTTTTTCTTTAATAATCGCTTAATTTCCTTCCGCCCAGTGTCTCTGTGGTTGCCCAACAGGCAAGGGATCTGCAGAATTACATAATCACCCCAGCCGGAGAGGGCTTCTTTTCCTTTCATTATTTCTCTTTATTTGTTTTCAGTTTTGTTTGTGGGGAGGAGGAGGGCTGGGAGAATTTCTGCTTCAAAGCTCCTGGCCTGAAGTTACTGTTTTAATTTATGGAACCTAGATTTCTCACTTTAGTCTTGGGGGGAAAAAAAAGACCATAGAGTGTAGCAAAGTAGATGTTGAGGACAGTAAATAAAAAAAAAGGCACCTGAAAGGATTAAGTACTGGGCTTAGGGGAAAAAATATATCAGAAAGGAGGAGACGGTGTCGTTCAGCCGCATAGCTGGAAGTTAACTCTTCGGTGGAAGGGCTCTCGGAGCGCTGGGCGGCAGGGACGCAGGGCAGTGCTGCACCATTGCTTGCTGAGGCGCACACAGACATTCATTAAAGCCAGCCCCGGGCCCAGGGCCTTGCACAGACACGCTCACTCCGCTCACTCCCGGCTGGCTCGCTCACCTGCCAGGCCCAGGAGATGTGCTGAGCTTGCACTGGCTGACAGCTGAGCCAGGGCTTTACTGGGGGGAGGGCTCGCGCGCCCGGGATCCCTCGCCACTCTGCACAATGTGACGAATCAGGAAGACCTCATGTAAGCTCTTCAGTGGTTTACTGATAGCACCTCCATCGCGGCCCTGAGTGCTTGCGTGTGCAGTGTGTGTACGGTGGGGTGTGGACTTTAGCCCTGGAGCTTTCCCAAGGCACCCATAGCTCCCGGGTGGGTCCTCACCAAGAGGCCTCCGAAAGAGGGAGTCCATACCTGGGAGGTGTAAAATGCACTGAGCTATTAAACCTGCAGATTCCCTGGACCCGCAGCCCTGCCTGCCTGCCAGCTTCTGTAGATCTCGGGGTGGTCCCCACACAGGGCCCAGCATCGCAGTGTTCCTGCTCCACAGCCACCGCTGCCTCCCCGAGTGGAGGACCTGGCTGTACACGTTCTGGACCAAGGCCTATTTCACTCGCTCCTCCTCTCCTCCTTTTTCTCCTTTAAAGCACAGCTTACACACACCGTGCAGGGCAGCATGGGTCTTTCCCTCTGCGCCACCATCTTGGGGTGTGAATTCGGGCATCCTGCTACGGATCTGTGTTCCTCCCAACTCTCAGGTTCTGAGAGATTTTAGGGACTAACCACTTGCAAGCAAATGGTGCTTTTTCCCTTTCCTTCCTCCTCGCCTTCATTGATCCCTCTACCCTGCCCCTGACCTTGGGGGTGTGTTAAGGACACAGGGGGTGGTCACACTCTTCTGAAGTCCCTTCCTCCACAGGGGTCAGTGAGTGGTGCTCTCTTGCCAAAAAAATGCTTCTCAGGACCAGGCCCTTGCATGCCACCTGGGGAGCGGCGGCGCCTCCCTCCTGTGGGGCAGCCTTATGGGCAGCTAATAAGTCCTTTGTGCACCAACATCAGCTGGGCTCTGTTCACAGGCAGCATCTAAATACACTGTTCCTGAGTTATGTTATGCAAATATTCCACTTTCATTGTGAGCCACAGCAAAGGGCTGGCAACTGGCAAGCAAAAGAAACCTCCCTTCCAAGAGTGCTTCAGGGAGGCAAAACACACACACACACACACACACACACACACACACACACACACACACGTGACCCAGCATGGGGAGGGACAAAGTCAGGCACACTAGTGCACAGCCCCACTGAGACAGCCGCTCCCTCCTGCAGGGCAGACTCTGCGCAGAGCCGCACACCCGAAGGAGACCTCAGAGAGGAGTGAGGAAAATCCACCTCCGCCCTCAGCACCTGTTCGGTTTTGCCAGGTAATGTTGTTAACTGCTCCGAAAAAGGGAGCCACGTATCCCGGGACAGGGGGCTGCTAATTAATACACCTTTGCTTTCACGCTATCAGTGTCCTTTGTCCTTTGGTGATTTCACCAGCTAAATTCAGAGCTAAGGGACGGGAGACAGAGGCAGGGAGCAGAGCACACGATGAAAGGGAGGACTGGAGCAGTGATGATCTGAGTGGTTCAGCCAGCACGTAGGGACCCATACACATACACCTGCAAGATAGCTTGATTTTTTCACTTAAAATTATTTTTGGTTATTGAATAGTAGAAGGAAATTATTCGCAACAATCTAGGAGTTCATACCCCTATATACCAGATGCCTGCAATAGATAGGTGCTGTTAAATATAATGACATGGCAGAAAAGGCTTCCCAGATCCATGCAGCTCTCTGCTGTTTAACCAGAAGGCAGTGGGGAAGGCAGCGGAAGCTGGCAGGGAAGACAGGAAGGCGCTGCAATTTCTCTGCTATAACTTTGTGTAAGGATGGCAAAATGCACCCCAAAACCAGAGCCCTTGTGCAGGGGGTGAATGTCTCCAAAGGGTTGTTCACGGGCTTCCCAGCAGGGTCCTGGGCAGAGGCAGCTAGAGAGAGGGCTCCTCTGCCTGGCAAGGAGCCACCAAGGGCAGGCAGGGACCCAGTGGGGACACTCAGTGGCAGCGGCTGGCTTGCTTGCTTGGAACCCTCATCAGCACCTTAGAGTCCTCACAGGCGTGTGCCTCCCACTCCACCAGCACCGGCGAGAGCTGCTGTGATCTCACCCACAGGTACCATCTCGGTTACCTCCTTTACAGGGCTCCGCCTGGTCTCCCCTAGGAGCCGCAGCGGCTGCCAGGAGAGTCCCAGTGCCTTCCCGAAGTCACATCAAAATGACAAACCATCACAATGAATTCGGCTCCAGTGGATTCAAACAGAGAGAACTTTCAAGTTTCCACTGTAATTAACCCTATCCTCGTTAAGCTAATTATGATCAAGCTTCCTGTCACAGTTAATATCCTGGCATCTTCGCCCATGGCTTACACTCTGCCCTCATTAGCTTATAAAAACAGCAGCGCTAAACAGGCAGCCATCGCCCTGCCCGGGGAGGCCAAGGGCTGGGAGTCCCCCAGAAGGGGACTTGGACAGGGTCCTGGGTCCCACAGAACCCTCGGGGGCCCCTGGGTGGGCACAGACTCAGCCTCCTTCATTCTCTCCCTCCAAACTGACTGCTCACAAGACAAGAGCCAGGACCTGGGTGGGGTGATAGGTGTGGAGCAGGGGACCTCTAAGCTGCAGCCTCCCTTGTGCCGGCACACTGTGGCCTAGAAGCCACCAGAGGTCACTTCCAGAACCTGGGTTGACCCATGCACACAGGCTGTGGTCAGAATTAGATCCCACGTCACCGTGCTCCTGCCTAAACCAGCCACCACACTGTGCCCAGCATGAGAAAGGGAGGCGAGCAGTGAGGACCACAGACCCTGGGAGAGATGCGTCTCTCCCTTCGGAACCATGTGTGGCCTCAGGGGAGGACCCAAAGTCAAACATTCTCAAACCAAGCAAGAGGACAAGCTCTTCACTAAGATCCTGCCTTTCTTCCTCCAGTCCATCTGAATGGCCACAAACATATTTTTAGCTGAGAAAGCAAGGAAGCCATGGAGATTCTAGGGGTACCTCACCCACATGTCTAACGCCCACCACCCTGGCTCCTCGCCCTGTCACGCAAGGCCTGGTGCTGTCTGTCCACGACCACCACGCACCCAGAGAGCTAGAGAGCTGTCAGGTGCGTGATGGACCAAGGAGTCCTCACCCACTGCTGACTGCTCAGCAGGAGCCCGGGAGACTATAACGGAAAAGCAGCCAAGAGAAACCCAAGGACAGAGAGCAGGCTCAGAGCCTGGCCAGCGGCCAGGAGGGAATCCCTACCCTTGCCTTCTTTCAGAGGCCAGATGTTTCCACCTTTCCCTGGGATGTGTTTTGGAGAACAGGAAGCGTGACATCAGAGAGCCCACACCTGAATCCCCGGGCAGCGATGAAAATATATAAATACTACCTACAAGTTGGTAAATAACAGCAGCTCTGAGCACCCTCCCTAATACCTGAGCACTCCCTTCAGGTCCCCAGTCACGAAGCAGTCACTGCCCACGACCAACAATACCACTGGGCCACCATGGACACTGATCCCGCCGGCATCTGTTCAGAGGGGTCAGCGTGGCAGTTAAATAGTTTAAACATCACCTCTGAGAGCAGAAAGAGTCATTTGTTCCTGTCTCATTTCCATCCTTCTCCCGTGCCTGGCACAGGGCAGGCTGTAGAGAAACAGCTGAAGATGAACTTCCCACTCTAGAGTCCCTGACTGAACCTGCAAGGACAGGACAGGCAACACAAAGATAACAAATTGGGAGTGAGGAAGAAAGGACAGGATCACTGTGCTGGGGTGCGAATGCTTCTGGCCTGGGAAATAGCCCAAAGGAAGCATAGACAATTTTATATACTGTGTTCATCTGGTCCCGTGAAAGTATTCTTGCCTTCATAAAACTCTTCATATCCTGCTTAAATGGTCAGGTGAATAGATGTAACTATTTATATTATATAGCTACGCAAGCATAACAATGTATTAAATACCTAAATGTGCATATGATAAGATATACATTATAATATATAGGTTAATATATACTTTTATATTATATAGCTACGCAAGCATAACAATGTATTAAATACCTAAATGTGCATATGATAAGAAATACATTATAATATATAGGCTCTCTAGATTTCCCTGCCATTCAGGTCATGCAGCTGGAGACTTATATACAAATTGTAATGTAAATCAGGTAGTCCCCACTGCAAGTATATGAATAGAAAGTGGAAATGTCTGTAAGAAATTCACAAAAGTGGAAAGGCTCTGGACTGTAGGACAGGTTGTGTCCTGACACCAAGAGGGGGCACAAGACGTGGGTCAGAGTCAACCCCTAAGCCTCTCACCATGATGGATCTTCTTTGCAATGCAGAAAATAAAACTCAATAGCCATGTGAGAGCTGAATCAGTCAAAAACCCAAAGTTGTTAACCATGCCTAAAGCCTTCACGTACTATAACTAAGAATACAAAGAAATCTTCCAAATACAACACCTAAAGAGTTATGGTGAATGAGTATGGAGCTTTAGCCCAGAAATCGGTACTTGAAGTTCCTATTATTTGAAAAGGAAAGGAAGAAATTAGATTCTCCAACTTTTAGATCCGTGAACTTATAAATTTACCTATGCAAAATTCTAGTCAGATTATCCCTCTGAGGGACTGACAGGTGCGTGCTGAGGACAATGTGAATAATGCATCTAATCATGCTGACCATTTTACTTTTGCCACCAGGAAGCCCAGAACTAAATTGTAACCCAAGTTTTAAAAGGTAGCACCTCATGATTTATGTATCTGCTTTCTAACTTTATTTGTTAAGGTTTGTAATTTTTCCACACACTTAATATTTGGATTACTTTTTATTTATTAATGCTCATAAGCTAGTCCAAACTCTTTATGGAATTAAATGGGACATACAGTATTTCATAGATTCTCAAATAGGCAGTGTGTGTGCGTAAGGACAGTTTGAGGGGAACAGATATTAACGGAGATACTTGACTCTGAATAGAAAAGATACAGATTGTATACAGACTCAACAATGGCTTTGAGTAAACTTCTAATCATATTCTTGTGATGGGAAAGCAAAAACTGGGCTGGAAAATGACATCAGGTAAACTTCAAAATGAACTGCTTCAAAATGCACCCAAAAAACACTGATTAATGGCTCACACTGCCCTAGCCACAGGTTGTTGGAACTTTATTTTTTGCCAATGACACGGTTAAGAACATCTTTGTCACATGTTTGAAATTCAAGTCCCTAGAGAGATATTAAAATCCGAAGCAATTCTATTAGAATCAACCACTATATCAGCCCACTAAGATGAACTTTGACAGCGTGTAACAGAAAGACCCAATTATAAAGTTCAACTAGCCAAAAAACAAGAATGCAATTTAAAATCAAAAGGCAAATAGAAATTTGGAAAATATTTACAACTTCTCTTAAAATCTAACATTTAACCACCTTTATATAGAAAGAGCTTTTGTAAGTCATTAAGACAAAGCTGAATTCCCAATGAAAAGTGACCAAAATATTCCAACAGAAAATTCGCCAGGAAGTTTGTCAACAGCAGGAAAGTGAGAGAACTTTTCAGCCTCATTGGGAATCTAGAATATTCAAGTTAAATAAGTTAGTCTATTGTTTTCTTACATTTTAATGTGGTCTTCTCAAAAGTTCAAGACAACAGGTTAACGCAAGACTATTTAGAGAACAGAGTCATTATTCTTTCTGGTTTCTAATAACTTACTGAGTGACTATCAAAGATGTGTATGGTTTCAATACAAGCAGGTTCCCTACAACATTATTTAAAATGACAATGCAAATGAGCCTAAATGTTCAACAATAGAGGAATGATTAAATAAAGCCCAACATAATGAAATACTATGCAGGAACTACAAATATTATAAACAGATATCTAATGACCCAACAGAATTTGGTGCTATATATTTAAGACCTGAAATCAACTACAATACAATATCTCATGCGTAGAAACTGAAAGTCCTCCATATGACCCCCACAATTCACCACACAAAATTTAATGTGCCCTGTGTTTCCCTGGGAATTTTCTCATTGCTGATTAAGAGCCATCAATGTTGTCTTAGTTGTTTCTAGTTTATAAGCTGTTGTTAATATGTTACCTTGTACAGAGGGACTTTAGGAGCATTCCGTAACAAAATTTGGGAGGTGGGGTGAGACAGGGTCTTGCAGTTCAGGCTGGCCTTAAACTTGTGGCAATCCTCTTGCCTCAGCCTCCCTAGTACTGGCATTACAGATGTGTGCCAGTTCATACTTATATATCTACATATATCTCTATTTTTTACAGTTTTATCTGTTAAAGATTCCATTTTGCAGAAGCACTTTAAAATCAGGA